TGCCATTTTTTTCCCTTCATCACACATTGATGTATACTTGTCGTAATGCATGGTGTTCTACTCTGTCATATTCAAACCAGAGCATTCATTGTGGAAAACTGATTTTTAGAAGTGCTGGATACTGTTGTGAAGATTTTTGTGACGTGTGAAAGCAAAAAATATAACACTACTGAAAAACTGAGTGAGGGGAGGAAAGAAATTTCCTCTTTGCAGCTGAAATCTCCGTGCCTGATGAGTCACTCATGACATTTTCAAAATGTTTCACAGAAAGAGCTCTTAGTCAGCAAAGCACTGCACCTTGTGCTTGGCAGGTCCCTGCTGAGTCAGGGCTCAAATAAGAGACTGTCACCAATCCAAAATGATACCAGCCACAGTGCTTAAAAACAGAGCTCGCAGCTATCAAAGTTTGGTTTTTTCCCTGCAGTATTGTCCTGATATTGTATTGTGTTAGATCCTTTTTGAGTAGTTTCTTCACAACACGCTCAGTGGGAGGCAAAAGCTAGACATGAGTAGGAGCTGGTAATTGCCATGGTCTCACATTGCCCCAGGCACCCCTATACAAGAGCTTTAGAGACCCGGTGAAATTAAAAAGAGAAAATTATACTGGGCAAAATATATTTTACCTTCCTTTGTTGCACCATTTTAAGATTAATAGAAGTGGAACAGAAAGGGAGGGGTTTCTTTCTTTACCCCCTGGGTAATGTATCTACATTAGACAGCTCAGGATGTTTAACCGCTGTTACTTCTATCCGTCAGTTATTCCACTTCTGTTATTGTTTGGAGGGGGCCTTCCAACAGCACCAGGGGACACAACAGCACATTAAACAAAGAATACAATTGTAAAACAATATAAAGTAAAATTAACAGGTGAAAGATCTGAAACTACTTTTAACTCATTATTTTTAAGGTGACTAGATTTCAAGTTGAAAGCAAAGCATCCCTTTAACACTTAAGTCTTGCTTCATTTCTGTAAGAAAGAGGGCATCCTATGGTGCAAAACTCAGTTATGTGAGCTAAGAGTACCCTGAGCTGGCTGGATATCACTTAAGACTCTTGTAAATGTCCACTGGTGGCATGAAAGCAGCAATGTTCATATATTACTTTTATTTGCTTTTACAGCCAGCTTATATGAGCTCTGCTTTTACACCAAGTTCCTGTCATACTGGTTTATAACTTTAGCTGGTGTGATGAGACATCAACACACTGGAAAATTGCAGGGCCAGTGCCTAGACTAGGTGGAATATTCTCAGTCCTGAGCAGCTGGAAGTCTTCCAGCACATGCACATCTGAGATAGATACAAAATATGAAATTTGTATGATCACTGTATATTTTGCAGGATTCCTGTGCTGCTGACTCAGAACCAGCCATTTTGGAAGGTGGCAAGCGATTTGGTCTTTCAAGGAACAGCCACATTGCAGTTGCATTTGATGACACCAAAGTGAAAAACAGGTATATTGTTTATTTCAGCAAGGAGTTTTGATGGAATAATGTCGAAATAAAACACCCCTCCTAATATTCTCAAAAGCATCTCCCAAAATTGTGGGCATAATTGAAAAAAGATCATGTCCCATGGCTAATTCATTTCATTAAGCAAACATAAAAAGCATCAAAGCATGAAATCTAGGCAATGAAGTGCCCACCTAAGCAGCTCTCACAAAACCAGTTTACCTCTTTGTTTGTAAAGGTTTGGGCACACACAGATCCCAGACTGATTTGCAGAAAAACAGACGAATGGAACCAGGTCATGCAACTGAGTTCATAGGTTGCTTTTTTGGAAGAAAATTTCTTGGTTCAGTAACTTCATAATTTATTGTAATAAGCAAACTTTTTTTTTCCCCTTTCCTCTGATAGTTAAGATCAAGCTTGTACAGTAAACGGGCAAAATGACATTGCCCTTTCAAAGTATAACAAAATATATACATATACATGTTGATATGCAAAGGAATTCCAAGAGCTACTTATAAAAATACATCTGTTTTCAATGGATTTGTGAAGCTGTAACTTGTTAATTGTTCATTTTTGCTCTGAAGGTACATGATCATTAACAAATGTGCCATGTCACACCACTAACCATTTTTTCTGCCTTATAGTTTACAAGTCCATCAGCCTCACACTTATTTTTACCTATAAAGATGCTGTACTGCATATTTTCATGTATGCTAATTTTAGAAAACTAGGAATAGAATTGAAAGAAAGATGTAATCCTGCAGTGCTTGCCTGTCTTCTTTTCAAATAAGAATCCTGGCCTGATCATTTTCATGCAATGATTTTTCACGTTTATATTACCAACTGCTTGCAGGTGCTGACTTTGCAGCTCAGCTTGGTCTAGGTTTGTGATGTGCTGGCCATACAACCTTAGCATCTAGACGATATCTAAATCATTTCTTCCCAGGTTCTTTGATGTAGGGGGGGTGGGGTTCGGCATTACTGTTGTGTCCAAGGGGTCAGCAGACCTCCTCAGGCACACCCCCATTTTCTGTTGGGAGAAATCAGAATAAGTGTTTTATACCCTGATTGTAAATGCTTCTCTCTGCATCTTTAAAAGTTTTGCAAGCTGTCTTCAGGCAATACAACTCATTAGAAACTCAACATTTGCCAGCTGTCACTACAGCTTGCTCCTCTTTGTGAGCATTATGTGTGTGGATGATGGATAACGCCGCTGGAATTTTACAAGCCCTGGGATTTTCTAGCAACTACAGCTGCAACTGGGAATTACATCTTGAAATTCTTTGCCAAGGTTGCACTTGTGTATTTCCACAGCAAAGGGACCAATGAACACTCACATGTCAGGGATCAAGTATGTGTGAAATGCAATTCGCATATAACCAAATTATTTTTCTTAAACTCTGATGGGCAATTAAAATGGGCCACTAACTGTAAAGTTTTTTTAGAGGAACACAAAAAGGTAAAGCAGATAAATTTGTCAACTGTCTGACTCCAAATATCTTTTCCTTTGTTCCTGTTTTCCTGTTTACTTGATTTCCAGACTTACAATTGAATTTGAAGTCCGAACAACAGCGGATTCTGGCTTGCTGTTTTATATGGCCCGCATCAACCATGCTGATTTTGCTACAGTTCAGATAAAGAACGGACTGCCTTACTTCAGCTACGATCTGGGGAGTGGAGACACCAACACAATGATTTCCAATAACATAAATGATGGCCAGTGGCACAAGGTCTAACAGTCTCTAATGCTACATTATTCTTTGTGATGCATTTATCTGTATTTATTTGGTTTATATAATGCCTACAAGGACTGGCAGTAGATGAGGGCCCCTTTCTGCTAGACTCTCTATAAATACAGAAGAGATGTGTTTTGCTCTTTTAGCCCTTTTCTCTGTATTCTAAGATAACTAACTGGAGCATATATTTCTTAATGGAAGACAGTGCTCTTTGGGAGCTTGGCACTCTGCGAGAGAGGGCCCCTTGTAGATACCCATTTTTGTAGGAGAGAATGGAGACAAAATCCAAAGTCACAGTTCCCAAAAAGCACAAAAAAGTCTGTTCTGGGAGGAGAGAAAAAGGCAACCTATTTAAGAAAAGACCACAGTCTTTGTTTTTAAGAAAGCAGGGGTTTCTCCTTAAAATAATCCTTTTAGTGACAACCTTTTCTCCATTTGAAATGCTTTAGGTTAAAATGACTCAATCAGGCATACAGAAGTCATATCGTGCTGCTGCTGTCTCTTTAGGTCCTCTGTAAGAGTGTCTGTTCCCAGTTCCTCTTTCACTCAACCACATCCTCCTTCTGCCCAAGGTGTAATTGTCCATCTCAAATTTACAGTTGTCTGTAAACACCAGGTTCAGTCCCTCACCTTCAGGCCACCCGTTGCCAGTGTTCAGTCATTCCCGTTGCATGACAGATGTGCTGCCACACTGAAGCAGATGCAGCCATGTTAAAGAAAAGCCAAAGAAAAATGCTGTTTGTCTCTCTTTGCTCCTCTAGTGAGCTAATTGCTGTGCTGTTTAGAAATCTGCTAATATGCATGTTACATTTTACATTTATCCCTTTTTTATACTGAACCATTATTATACTGATTTATAGAGATTTCAGTATAAACCTTTGGAAAGACACTGGCCTACAGTTGTTGGCGTGGAATTTGCCCAGCTCTTCAGCAATGGTGCTTTGTCCATGCGATTCACAGCCCGTTTGTCTGACCAGAAGCCGTAATACCAACAGAATATAGTTGGCATTATATTTACTCTGCCATGAACTATGATCTCAGGCACATTCAAAACAGTGGAATCATAAACTCAGTATTGTCTGCAAACATGTGCTGCAATAAAGATTTGCAACTGGTGCCGTTAACTAAAGCATTTACTATTCCCAGTACTTAAAATTGCTGTCTGATTCCAGGAAAAACAATACTGTGCCATGCCTATGATAGTAACAATGAAGCTTTTCAAAGGAACCCCAAGTCCTTTCAGTAATCCTAATAAATAATAGTCATGATGCTTCCTGACCCGGATGTAATTAAAAGGCAGTCATATGTTTGCACAAAACCTTGCGCAGGAGCTCTGTTCCATGAACATTATCCATAGTTGCTGCCATGGTACTTCTGCTAACCACTCCTACTACTTTCTCCTGTATTGTGATGCCGTTTGGACTGTAAGGCTAGTTACAATCTGGGAACACTTTGTTGTCAGAAAACTCTCTGTAATTGCATTGTTTTTGCATGTCTTTTTAGATAAAAGTAATTCGAACGAAGCAAGAAGGAAACCTTATAGTAGATGATGTTTCAAACAGGACTGTTAGCCCCAAGAAGGCCGATATATTGGATGTTGTAGGAATGCTGTATGTTGGAGGATTGCCCATTAACTACACAACTAGAAGAATTGGTCCGGTAAGCAAGTTTGTTTACCTTGCTCTCCTTAAGTATGTCTTGATTGGTACCAATGTCCTCCCACTTTTGTTTAGTTTTGCTTTTCCCTCAGACTGCTCAAGAATATGGATAAAATCGATCTTCCTGCAGGTACATATTACATTCTTTCAGTGCAAAGATCTGACTCAGAACCCAGTTAATGCAAAGAACTACAAATAGCAGAGTTAGTTACTGTTACAGAAAAGTAGAAAGATCCATACACTTGTATCCACTTGGAGCACTGCACAGCTAAAGTATAAGGTCCTGAATACTCCTTGCCTTTTCTCTTGGCTGTAATTCATCTAGCAATAAATGCTAATAAACAGTGAAAGTGTCTCCTAAGAGAAGCAGCAGAAGCCAAAATTACCCTGGACAAAGTACCTAGTAGTACTGCTGCTTACTGTAGTAATTGGTTTTGTGTTGTTATTACCAAAATAGGAGAGAATGTATTTTGAAGTAAGGCCATGAAAACTTTGTTGTCCTCTTTCTGTTTCCAAATCAAATGTGCATATATCAGTTTATCACTGCTTCAGACTAAATGCCCAGCTTCCATGCCGACACAGAAGTTACCTTGGCAAAGGGAGAGCCCAGAGAGGTGAATGTCATTTTGGCCTAAACTTTGTAGAATTAACTAGGATCACTGTATTCCCTCACCCAGGCCATTTACTGCACCTGTCTGCACAACTCCATGTCAGCCATCTCATTTTCCTGCTGCCCTCCCATCCCCCAAGGCATGCTTGGGTCAGAAACCGAGAAAAACCTTTTCGCTGCGTTATTTTTGTCTCTGCGCAGAGGGGTCTTTCAAAGCAGAAGCCAGAATTCAAGTGAATTTAATTATAGCAAACAGCAAATTAGGCATATAGTGTGGCACAATTTGGGCAAAAAACTGGAATGTCAGTAGCAGCTATGTCTAGGCTCGTTCTGGCTGGTTATACAGAATCGATAAAGGGGAGGCAAAAGTACAAATCATGGTAAGGAAGGAAACCAGACTCGCAAAGAAACTGCACATGAGTAAATACTATTGTAGTAAGATGGTAATGGAATGGCAAATACTAGTCTGTAGCCAGGCAGGAGTCCACCAGTTTGGGCAGACAAAATAAATACAGAAAAGGAATTCCTAGATCCTGCTTAAGTAAGTCCCTATAATAACTCGTGGATGTGGAATGAAGGGGAAGAGTAACCACTCTAAATCTGAGAGTCATATTCCATAAAGAAAACTGACTTGTAAGATCGTATTTCTCAGCAAATTATGGATTGTGCAGAAAGCCCAAATTGAGGCAAATCTACTGATCATTTGGATTTACCAAACCAGATCCGAGGCACTGAAAAACAAAAGCAATACCTAAATACCCACAAAATATACTTCCTAACACTATCAAATTATGCTATTTGAAATACATCTGCAATTTACAAATGCTAATCTAAGGAGAAAGGTAACACTAAATCCTTACCTATTGCTCCTTGTCAGAAGTAATGGAGGGAACTCGTGCAGATAAATGGCTCAGTCTAGCAATAACAGTCATGTCAGATCCTGACAGCCTCACATGCTTTGGGATTTAAATGAAGCTGTGACTTCAAATGTCATTCACAGAAAGTAAAAACCAGTGCTTGCCTTTCAGTCGTTCTCAGTAAAATACACCGCGTGGTATAATAACACAAGTGTTGTGTTGTAGGCTTCATGTAAAGGCTCCGAAGCAAAGTAAGTTGAAAGGATGTATTATCCGAGTTAGGGCTTTCTTCTAAATGCACATCAGCCTTTTTAAACTCTAATCTAATATGTAACCGTAGGTGGCCTGGCTTCCTATTCAGTGCCGGAGACTGATACCAACTTGTTTGGCTTCAGTAGATGTCACCTTTTAAGCACTCCAAACTCTGCTTTCAGCAAAAGAGGTTATATTGCCTGTTACCATGCTAAAGCATAACCAGATTTGTTTTTCCACAGAAAAAGTGAAATTTTAAAGTTAGAGAATGTTATCGAGTTGTCTACAAATCTTGCATTCCTATGATTTATTCTCACAGTGAAGATGGCAAGATTTGTTTTCTTTTGTGGCATTTTTCTTTTTTGATAACAAAAGTTGTTGATCTGGAGATGACTTTCACTTAGAAATTAGAAAAAGGTCTATTTATGAAGAATCTGACAGAAAGCATTGCTCAACTCAGAACTGAATTTATTCACTGATATTGCTCAAGTTCTCATGAGAATTTTCTTCAGGTGTATTTAGCAGTAATAAGCTATATAATTCCACAGTACATTCAGCTTTGATTTACAAGGAAAGAAATTCTTTGGAAATTTGTTCAAATTACCAGTCAGGATATTGTTACAGGAGGTAGTGTGCAGAGTCAAGACTTCTCTCTGCAGGTCTGCCTTTCTCCTTTCCGTATTTGGACATACTTCTACGCTGTTTTTTATACTCAGATTTTTATTTTCCTCCTTCCTACTGCATTGCTTAGGAATACATCTTCCTTTTCTTCCTCAAAGTACATATTTATCATTTTTCTCTCTCCCATTGATATCAGGGATAAATTTTCCTGACTCTTCAGTCAAAGATCAAAGCCTTTATCTGAAGCCGAGAACCAAAGTGCAGCTTCTGCATACCTCAGAGAGAAAAGGGAGGGAGAGCTGTGGGGTTGATGCCAATGGCTTTCAGAGGTCCCGCTGGGATGCACTGATCACACCCAGGACAATCCGGGGTGTAGCCTGGGCGGCCCCACACTCCGGCCCCAGGCTGTGCACCTCCAGCTTAAGTGTGCACATACCACCCGCTCGGAGTCACAGTACTGGGCTCCCAGTGCAGAAACCAAACTGGAGTTGCAGTTTGTTACCCTGCCCGGGAGCCTCCATACACCCGAGCACATCCCCTGCCTCCCTGGCCAACAGAGACGCCCTTGTCACTGTGGTCACCAGACCCGTATACAGCTATCGGGCACTCGCACAGGCTGCCCAGGGAGGTGGTAGAGTCACCATCCCTGGAGGTGTTCAAAAGACGTGTAGACGTGGTGCTTAGGGACATGGTTTAGCGGTGGACTTGGCAATGTTAGGTTTATGGCTGGGCTTCATGATCTTCAAGGTCCTTTCCAACCTAAAAGATTCTGTGATTATACAAAGAACTATGTCCAGTCAACAACCTTTATGCAGGGGCCTTGTTCATTTTCGTAGCCGTGTACCTGCATTAGCTCTGTCTTACCATGCAACATTAGGCCCAAAGTAAAGTGATTAAAGGGGGGGGGAACTCTAGTAAAATTACCAGCAGCCTAGAGAGCTATATCCAGTAGCTTCATCTACTCGCAAACCTCATAACCTAGTCAATTAAAAAGGTAAAGTATAGGCAATTAAATTCCTGCATTGCTGATGTAATTTGCTATGTTTCATTATGCAGTGTATTATTTTATGTCCCCTCCATTAAGTCAAATAGATGTGACTCAGATCACATCCTTGAAAAGTAATGTAATTCATCCTCAGTATGACTGAGATTAGATTCCAATTACAATCAGATATTAAGGATTAGCCATGTAAAATTCAAGTTTTATTCAGGTCCATAAATCCAGCAGAGAAATAGAGGAAGCGTACTTTTTGATGACATAGTTTAGGCCTTTATTCTGGGCATTTCATCTTGCTTTGCACAGCTATACATTTTGTTTGAAATATTGCCTGCAGGTCACCTATAGCATTGACGGCTGCATCAGAAGTTTTAAAATGACAGAATCACCTGTTGACCTGGACAATCCAACTTCCAGCTTCAATGTTGGAAAATGCTTTGTCACCGCACAGAAAGGAACATACTTTGACGGAACAGGCTTTGCCAAAACAGGTAATGAACTGCAATTCTGCTGATAGGGAAGGAACAGAGAAAGGGGTGATACTGCTTTCAAAAACTTCCAGTGCTACCCAGCTCCTGTTGACTGGAGGCAAAGTGAGACCAATACTTGAAACTCTCGCTGATTGTTTTTAGTTATCTTGCCTAGGGATAGACTATATGACTTTCTAGCAAGGTCTCACACTAAGCACAGCTGCCACAGTTAACTTACATGATTTTATATGAAATGGAGTGCATTAATAACGCTGAGTTAGTTACCTTGCATTACTGGCAACACACTTTGTGTGATTAATAGGAATAATTAAATGCTTTTCTTCATTTTATTACTCTTCCCCTTTTCTGTCCAAGTTGGTGCATACAAAGTGGGAACAGACCTGCTCGTGGAATTTGAATTCCGTACAACACGAATGAATGGTGTTCTCCTAGGAGTCAGCAGCCAGAAAATGGATGGGCTTGGCATTGAATTAGTAGACGGAAAAGTGAGTAGCAAAGCATTTTTGGCTCTTTATAGAGACTGGTTTTAGAAAGCACAGGTAGTTTAAATGCAAGCTTACTACCCCAATCTCAAGGCATCTCAGTCAGTATCAGGGCTCTTCTTTATGCAGCACTTGCCACTTCCCATACATCAAGGGCTATTACACTTTTACAAAGATATTTTAAAAGGTTCTGTAACCCTTGAGTTTCCTAAAACTACCACAGGACTTAAATTACTCAGAATATGAAAAGTTTTGAGGAAAGGCTTTGTCATTAATAATACTAGTTTCTTGTGTATATCTTTTATTTCACAATCTGGAAAAACAGTCAGTAATCTGTCACTATAAAGAGCTTGGGGTGGGAGGGTGAAACATCCCAAAACTAAGTCAAAAAAATAGAAGAATGACAACCTATACAACAATTTTGTGTATTTCCACTAGTGTTTATCTCAGTGACATAACCCAGAGCCCAGAGGGACAGCAATCCACATGGAGTCTAGTATTAAATTAGAGCTTTAGGGTGTGCAGTCAGAGCAAGTTGACTTTAAATAAACAAAACAAAACAAAAGAATCATACAACTGTTTTGAGAACTAGCTGACTTCCATGTCATGCTTTTCAGGTGATGTTTCACGTTGACAATGGTGCAGGTCGATTCTCTGCCATCTACGAGCCTGATGCAGCAGGCAGCTTGTGCGATGGACAGTGGCACAAGGTTCTTGCAAACAAGATCAAACACCGTTTAGAGCTGACTGTGGATGACAGACAGGTGGATGGTAACAGCCCAAACAGGGCCTCAACCTCAGCAGACACAAACGACCCTCTCTTTGTCGGAGGATATCCTGGTGAGCATTTAACACACAAATGATGCTTTACAAATGCTCTAGTAATACTGCCTTGGTAATGTCTTAAATGCAATTAGGACTAGTATGCTAAAGATGGATAAGACTGTCCAAGTTTGTATCAGTTGGCATGGATGCTTGTTCCTGCATCCAGCTGCACTTTGGAACAAGAAGTTCTGCAGCACCAAGGGACTCTTGCAGATCCCCTGCCTGGTTTCAAACATAGGCACAGTCACAGAGAGGCAAGCAGACTTTCTGCCTTCTGCTGCCTGCACACACACACACAGCCGCCCTCTTAAAACTTTGTTTAGTAACAGCACAATAGTTATGTTTCAATAGTAACAGCATTTGGCAAATTTAAATTTAACTTAAGAATGGCAAATTTAAATTTAACTAAAGAATGCATATATGCCAGGGAGGGGGCAGGGCACTGTGTGTGTAAATCAGCCCCTGAAACCTGAGGAACCGAGGAATGTGAGCAACAGCTTGCATGGAGTGGTGAGAGGACACCAGCTCTTTCTGATTAATGTCTTTGCTTGTGGTCTGGTGGTTTTTAAAGGAAAAAAAAAAAAAACATCAAAATTTGCTGCTCAGTATTCTGGAAGCCATCAAGAGAACTTGCTTCATGTAGAGGTAACTGAACAGGACCCAGAGCTGGGCTGAACTCTGTAGTTAGTGGAAGATGAATCTAAGCTGATAATGAATGCTAGTATTCGTCTGTTTATAGACTATCAATAAGTTTATCCAATAGCAGTTTACTTTCTGAAAATGAAGTTAAGATGTTTGCAAAGGGCCAGTATTGTTGCATTTATAATGAAGTTTCCCTCCAGTTTGCAAACAAAAGAGCCAAGTATGTTTGCAGTATGTGTCTGGTGTAGTGTATACTGAGGTCAATGGCAAGACACCTCTTGAGTTAATTCCTAAATGATTTTCTGGAAGTTGTTTTTCCCCTCATTCTAATGTGTGATTCAGTACATCCAAAAAGCCATCTCTCTCAAGCTTCAGAACATTTTCCAAAATGTTCTTGACTCAGAGATGTGAGAGTTGTACTTCAGTCAGTGTAACTATTGACACGGACCAACAACTTTGTGCCAGAAGGAAAACAGCTTTGTGGCAGCCTTTTTATAACAAAACAGGATTCTAGCATAGGAGCTAGTGCTAAAGAAACATCGCAGATGGAGTTACTGTCTCGTTCTGGACTGTACGTCAAGACAAACATAGCAAGAGAAACAAATAGAAGTAACACTGCAATCTGTACAAAACAAACCTACGCTTACATCATGTTGAAGTGATATTCCTGAGTTCAGCCACATGGCAAGTTATGAAATGATTTACTAAACCTACATGCACATTTAAACACCTCACACTTCTCTTGCTGTCTAGTCTGGATCATCCAAGATTTGTTTTAACATTCTCAATAGCTAGACAGCCTAATCACAAATTTAAAACACAGTATCACGGGATTTTGTAAAATTAGTAAGCGTTTGTATTTTCCAGTCCTCTTGAGGCTTCTCCTGGCTGCATAAACAGTGCGAAACAGTTGCAAACCAGCTAGATTTAGCTGGAGAATTTCCTGTACAGAGAAACTTTTTGCCACCAGAGCGTGGGCAAGGATATAAACTCCTGACTACGCATAAAAGCCATTACTCATCTCCTACTATCACTCT